TATATTTATCGTCGAGTGATCCCATAGACTAAGTCCAACATTCTTTTTCGGGCCCTATAGAAGGTCCGTAACGGCCCGACAGAGGAACATAAAGAGACTTGTCTCTTTATTGGAGAGTGACGATGGAACTTTTGGGAGAATTGACCGAAGTGAGGAGAGTTTATCACCCCCATCGCTGCTTCGGCGAAGAGAAGACGATAGTAAGGAATTATGATTTCGACCGAAAAATTACCAAGGACAAGAACGTCAATTATATGTTTTGTCTCTTAGCGATAACAAAAAACAACATTGTTTCGGTTTACTTTTTACACAAAAGAATTTTTATGGCGGATATAAGAGTAATTTCCGCCAAATTCGGGTTTAAAAAATCCTAATCTTAAGGACTTTCAGCCTACGTGATTCTAACTCTAACTCAATATCCTATACGCTGGCACTGTAGGTATTTGTTTTTTAACTTTTTGTCTTTAAAATATTCGTGATAATCTACTTCATGTAACTGATTACGAAATAGCTATTTATGAAACCAGTTGCGAAATGCCGTATTTTATGTAACAAGTGAATATTTGCGGGACGAGCAAAGCGATAAGTGACATTTTTATCCTATTGTTTTACGAGTTGCTAAGTTTTTATATTTAAAGTTGTTTTTCTTCTTGTTTCATGATGGTAAGTAAAAATATTAAGGCTATTTGGATTTTTGCAGTAATATTTAGCAATTTTAAGAAAAAAGTATTTTTCAATGTCTAATACTTTTAATACTTTATATAGTTGGTCTGATTATATTGTTACCCTGCCCTGCTGTAGCCTGCGGCTGTTATAGGAAAAGTACAAATAAAAGAGAAAGTGCAATGTCACCCATCACCTATAGTGTGCTGCTGTTGTGATAAGTAAAAGTACGAGTAAACGAAGAAGAGAGAACAATCTATAAATGTCGAGAAATGTCATTCCGTGTCAAGAAACATCTGGACGGTTCGATAAGGTTCAAATGAGCTACATAAGTCGATGATCCTGACGTCAAAGTTTCAGTTTTATGATAGACATTATGTGAATGTTGATAGTTGTGAATTGTAATAGTTTGAGTTGATATAAATTGAGTTTACCGAAAACCAGTGTAACAATATATGATATTTAGAGCATTATAATTAGGGAGATTGCTCTTATAACCTTCATAAATCTTATGTTTATTGTTATTTATTATTCTTATGTCTATTGTTTTATTAATCTTATGTCTAGTGTTATCTTATTAATCTTGTCTATTATTTTTAATTAATCTTATGTCTATTGTTACTTATTAATTATTTTTTATCAGCATGTATGGAGCTACTAATAAACAGGAGTAATTTCCGAGCACAACCTTTTGGTTTTTTCGGACTAACCCAGATTTATTTACATTATAAGAAAATTAATTTGAAAAAAAAAATATGCAAGAATTAAAACAAACATTATTATTAGTACTTGTTAGAGATAAAAATGAAATTTTACTATAATTAACCATAAGAAGCCTATGATCAAACCAATTAAAAATGCTCTTTAGGACATTCTAAACTATTACTTTTGAGTCTTTCCACGTATCTGTCGAATAGAAAACAACGACGGCAAAGCTAAGTACCTGACTTTGATTATTAAATGATAATAAATCAATAATGTATATATTAAATAAAATTGGGCCAAGCACTGTGCCTTGGGATATTCCATATTTTACACCTTTTACACTGCTTCTGTGTTCTTCTATTTGAACGCATTGCTTTCTATTTGAACGCATTGCTTTCTATTTGAACGCATTGCTTTCTATTTAATAGATAACTCTTAAAAATATCAAGCGCACAACCCCTGACTATACAGTTATTACCTTTATAAGTGATATTTGTATTTTTTCAGTTAAAGCTAGAATCTTCTGAGCTAATCTAATTTTTAAAATAAAGTTGATGTATTTATAAAGCCATTCTTTGTCTTTTGACAATTTTTTCAAATGTTTTTGAAAAGTGTATGATTAAAATAATGGCCTGTAATTACTTACTAATGTCTAGTCGTTTTTTTTTTGTACCCGCCAAAAAAATATATTTTTTCTACTACCGTGCGTAAAGTACGTACTTTACGCACTCCACGAAGTGTGTAAAGTTGTACTTTTTTTCACTAGTGCGTAAAGTAAAACTCTTTACGCACTAGTTAAAAAAAGTAAAATTTGACAAAATTTGTACATAACAACAAAATATAACGTTTTATTTTATATTAACATTTTTTTGCTATCTCCTTCTAAGACAAATAAATAAATTATTTTTGGTTATATCTATTTAGTGTCTAACAAATTATCAACAGTTTAGTTTAATTATAATTTTCTCTAAATGTCATCGATTTAATTAAAAGTAAACATACAGTGGATGTCGATTTTGGTAAAAGTAAGTTGGCCGTGGCTGTGTGGATTAGAAGAACTATCAATCTCTAAACTTTTAATTAGTACCTACCTTATAACAGAACACGACAAAAGTATACTTAAGTTCAAGATTAGATTCTAAAGCCAATCTAGAATTTTTTTAAATTCAATCAAGTTTGAGAAGGTAAAAAGTTTTACTTTTTAATGTTTGTTTACTTAAATTCAAATTTTATTTGAAGTTTATTATATTTGTCATAATCGATATGGATTCAAATTTATCTAGCGATAGTGAATTTGATAATACTCCCCCAGATATCTTATGCAGTGCACAAAAGGCCACTGAAAATTTATTGCCAGAAAAATCTGCATATATTTATCAGCAAAAATATAATGCATTTATAGAATGGTGTAGGAAGAATAAGGTGACAAAATATTCGGAAAACGTTATTTTAGCATATATCTCTGATGAATTGAAGAATTGCAAAGCTTCTACCCTAGGGTCGATTTATTCAATGCTCAAAAGCACCTTAAAATATAAAAACAACGTTGATATTTCAAAAAAATAAAGGTTATAAACCAAAAAAATCCAAAATTTTTGAACGAGAAGATCTAATTAATTTTCTGTTGAAAGCTCCAGATTCCAAGTTTTTAATGATCAAAGTAAGTAAATGCCTCAGTAAATGCTTGAATGCTCAGTATAAAATTAAAATATTCTGTAAAGTTTTGCAACGAGATGTGTGTTCGTATGGTGTGTTGCCTAACAAAATCAGTTGCTGTCCTAACAGGCCACCGGGGTTGTTAGGCAGCACATTATACCTAAAACTTTTATATTTTTTACAATAGCATTTATTTGGAGTTTTACATGGGCAACGTCAAGATATTTCCTAATGTTTAATAAATTATTTGTACCATTACAATATGTTATTTTTTAGGTAGCTTTTATAATTGGAATGGCGGGAGCTTGTCGCCAGGAAGAATTATGTAAAATGACAATTAACGATGTGGAAGATAAACAAACAGTGTATATTGTCAAAGTATCAGAAACCAAAAATGGAATAGAACGCATTTTTACGATTTTAAATAATTCTGCAGTTGATTATTTATCTTTCATAAAAAAATATACCTCATTAAGACCATCAAATATAAATTGTAACAGATTTTTTTTAAAATTCGCAAATGGAAAATATTCTAAACAGCCTGTAGGGATAAATACTTTTGGTAAAATGCCAAGTGTTATAGCAACGTATCTAAACTTGCCCAATCCAACGGCTTTTACAGGACACTGCTTTAGGAGGTCTTCAGCCACTATGCTGGCAAATTCTGGAGGAGACCTTCTAACGATCAAAAAACATGGAGGATGGAAATCATCTGCTGTTGCAGAAGGCTACGTAGACAGCACAATAACACAAAAAACAAATTTCTAATAAAATTTTGATGGATGACAGTATGCCATCCACTTCCAAACAAAGCTACAATTTTACCGTTGACAACTCTAATGAAGAATTAGTGGAACCACTCGACAGTGAAACTAGAGTTACACAAAATATTTCAACCTCTTTAATTGAAAAGGCCAAATCCATACCACTCGAAGCTCAAAATAGGGTTACAGAAGTAATATCACATTTTTCAAACTCTGTGCTGGAAAAGGCCAAAACCTTAAGTTTTGGTAATTGCAATAAATCAATATTAATATTCATAAGAGTTAAAAACCTATTTTTTTAAATATTTCTTCAGTTGTTAGTCATTTTGTTCTGTAAGAATTATAAATTTGTAAAGTTCCAATAAATTTATTTTTGTTGCTGTGTGCAATTTTTGGCACATTTTACTTCTTTTCACTAGTGCGTAAAGTAAAGTACTTTTTTCACTAGTGAAAAAAAGTAACTTTTATATTTCTAATATTAGCGGATTATGTGTACGGTAGTAGAAAAAATATTGTATGCCACTCGTGTGTAAAGTCCCTTTTTAGGGTAACTTTACACACTTGTTGCATAAATAACTATTTTTGAGACTTTAGACTAAACTCCACAGTCTAAATATTTATTTATAATAAATTGAAATGGGTCTATTATATTTGACAAAAGTGATTTTATTAGATTTGTTCTGATATCATGTGTTTACCATTTTTGAGTTGTTTAATTAGAGAAAAAAATAGTTTATAATTTGACATAGTTTTAGTAATAGTTAAAAATGTGAGGCTTTTGAAATTTGACTAGCTATTTGCTTAGTCCTTATTTTTTTATTAATATTTTATTGGGCCAATCTTGTTTTTAATCATTTGTGCCTGTTATTTTTTTACCAGTGTGCCAAAGTTCTTTAATATTATTATTATTTGATAATGTTATTTGTTGATAATAATTATTTTGTTTCGTTTTATGAATTAAATTTGTTAATTTATTTTACACAATGATATTTTTCTTTTAAATTAATATTTTGGGGATATTTTACTATTTTCTTAAATACATTATTTTATTCATTAACCGTTTTAAAGGTTATTTTGTCATCTGAGGAGACATTTTATGTATGTACACTTGCCTATTATATTTTGAACAGAGCTAATAATACATTTCTATTCCAACACTTGGATTATCCTGATTGGCTGAATATTAGTTATTAAAATAAAGTTTCAACTTACCTTCAATTACCATTTTTTTAGCAGTCTTAGACTCTGAAGTAATACCGCAAAGTTCTGAAACCTTGACACCGTTCAATCGCCCATTTATGTTCACGGTACCGGTTACTGACAACCCACCGCGAAAATCTACTTTATCCAGAATATTTTGACTTCCCTCCTTGCCGTTTTCGAAAATATTATCCAAGTCTAAATTCTCGATTTGACCTTTGTGCGAAATCGACGTATCAACGAAAATATTGCCTAAAAGTTAAAGTAGATTAATATCATTGATCTTATAAAAGCGGATGACAATGTGAAATGTACTTACCAAATTCTACGTTTTTAAATATTTGCGGTTCATCAATTTTTATACTGTTTTCCTCAACATCATCCAAATCAATATGATTTATTTGATTTGTTTCTATGAAAACGCTTCCGAATACTGTGATCTCTTCAAATTCATGATCACCTTCTACTATCAGTTTTTTATCGTTTTTGACAGTTTCGAATTTAGTTTTATAAATTCCATTTAATTTATTATTAAAATAAACTTTGTTAGCTGTAATAGTATCTATATCGTCAAGATCTTCTAGTATTAAATTATTATCTTTGATTTCTTGCAGTTTTTTCTTCGCATCGAAATTATTTTTAAGCCTTAAGTGTTCGATGTTTAAATTCGTAAAATTTTTAGTTCCAGATAGTTTTTGAGGAACATCGATAACAACTGCGTCTTCTACCATTTTTGTAAAATTGATCCCGTCGATGTTTCCATCAATTTCCAAATTTTTCGCTAAGGTGGAGTTAGCCGAAAGTTCAGAAACGGTTATGGGAGCGTCTATTATTTGATCTCCTGTGGTTGTTATAACGTTTTTCCAAGGTTGGGTACCGAATTTCGTATTGTTAACCTTCAAACTAAAAAATATTTATATTACTTCAAGTTTTGCTTCTAAATTTCGATTACTAACAATTAGATCCGAAATAAGGTCGACCTTCACCCATCTGTTTAATGGATGAAACTTTCTTTTTATTAAATAAAATATGTTTTAAAATATACCGCAAATGGGTTGCCTAAGAAAATTCGGTCCAGACTATTTATTTTCTTAATGTAAAAAAAAACGACACCCTGTAAAGTATTCCCCAAATGCTTTAACTGTGCCCAAACTTTAATCAGCTCATCGCAGGATAGATTAAAGCCTAAGTTCAAAATTTGGTGTTTTTCTCTTCATCCGTTTTTGAGTTCATCTTCAAAATTCAAAATTTGCACTTTTCATCAAATATCTCAAATTAGGTCCATTTTAGGAAAATCATGTATAGATACAAAATAATAGAGAATGACATCATAAGCAACTTTTATCATGATTCCTATACTTTCCTTATCTGAACACAGAGAGGAAAGTAAAAAATGGTCGTGACCATATTTTATTAGGCAACCCATTTACGGTAAATTTAAAAACATATTTTATTTAATAAAAAATAACTTTTATCCATTAAACAGATGGGTGAAGGTCGACCTTACTTACGGATCCTGGACTAAATGTAAACAGACTAGGATCAGTGGCTTGGGTATGTCATTAAAATAATTATACAGGGCTTTGCACGTAACTTATATAAAATACGTTTGTGTTCCCTACAAATTTATAAAATCTCATGTGTGTAGGAAGCCGTTAAAATATATTGTCGTCCAATAAGTAATACCTTGTATGTGTGCACTTCTAGAAGAAGTTCTAGGAAGTTTTTTGTGTCTACTAAAATTATAATACAAATATATGGGCTAGTGGAAGAAATAACAGAAGAAGAGGTTTTAGAGTTTTATATAAAATTACAATAAGTATTAAACCAAGTAAGAGAGGAAAACGACAATATAATAATAAAGGATTAGAACGAAAGGGTAGGTAAAGATTCCAAGTGAAATTATGGAGAGTAAACAATAAACAAAAATAGACTGAAGCTGATACACTTTTGCAAGAGAAACGAATTAATAATGGAAAATACGATTTGGGAACAAAAACTAAATGATAAAAAAATATACGTTTGGTGCTGAAGAACGTAAAAAGCTTAATTGATTATATAATTTATTCACAAAATTTTAGTAAATAAAAAATAGTTGAGACAAGTAAGGGGGCTGAAATAGGGGCACACCATAGATTAATTATAGTAGAATGTTAAACAAATAATAAAAATAAAGGCAATAAACTACAGTATAATTATTGCAATAAGTAAATTGAAAAATACTGAAAAGAAAACAAAATACCAAGAACAGAATGATAAACAATTCGAACGACTTGGAAAACAAAACACAGAATGGATACTTAAAAAACGATGAAACGCTTTAATAGAAATACTAATAAATGAAGAGGAGATATATGAAATAATTACATGTAATAAAGTGGTGGAACAAAGAAATAAAATTATTAGCAAAAAAATTAAGGTATCTTCAGATAAAACACAAGATGAGGAGTAAAATAAAACATTGTAAAATCAAAATAAGGACTAAAAACGATAAAGATAGGCGAATGGATGTAAAATCCGCAGTCATAGAACCCCAAACAAACAAGCAAGCAAGAGGAGTAAGAACAAAAATTTAGTAAAATAACCAGTTAAAAAAGCGAAAATCAACTAACTCCTGGAGAGATTTTAAAAGGTAAATGACAGAAACGTTATGCATTATATAATAAAAAATCTTGGACAGTGATAAAAAGATTACGAGTAAACAGAAGAAAAGAAATAAGAGCTATAAAAAATAAGAGTAACAAACTGAAAACACATGAAACACAAATAATACAAACCTGACAAGAACAATATAAAAACAAATTTGCAGTTCACCGATTGAAGAAATACCAAATATAGACATAGAAGAATTAAATAAACATAACATACAAAGTCCAGTAAACAGCGGCAGATCTGTTTACAAAAAGGTTGCCATTTTAGAAATTTTGCAGTTATTTAGGTTTAGTGATTGTTAAACTATGAAATTGGGGCAAAAATATACTACTCTGTATATAATATTTTTCAGATCTTCTTGTTGTTAATGATATGTTAATAAATTCAAAAACTTCAAACTGTACCAAGTTCCTAATAAAATTATCCAAAAGTTAGACTTTCGTATTATTTGAATACCACAGCTCTGTTAATAAATACAAGAAAGGAGTTTAAACAATCACCTAGCAATTTTTGACCTGGGAGCAGCTTTCGACATAATAAAAAGAGAAAAATATAGGTTTTAGAAGACTTAGAAGAACCACAAGATCTAATCAATATAATTAAACGAACATATAAGACTATTAAAGTAATAATACATATTATACTCGTAGGAAGAAAACAAGGGGATATTCTAAGCTCACTGTTTATAATCATAATGAATAAAGGAATAAGCAGAAAATATAGACAAGATAATAGGATACGGAAACTTGGTGTCAGTTTAATTAGGCTATTTGCTATGTATTTTTTTTATTCAAACCAAAGATCATCGAATAAAAAAAAAAGGCAAATTTGTTCCAAAATATTTCGGATAACAGGATGCACTGACAATCAAAGAAACGGTGTTACCTTCCTGTACATAGAAGGACCGTTTGAAAACATGTCACACAAATCTGTCAAAAGAGCACTTTTATACAGAGGAGTAGATAGCGCCACACATCCAGATGGATGGCTCATCTGCTATCTACGAGAACTGCAGAGACACATATAGGGCAGGATTCTATTTTCATCTGCACAACCAGAGAATGTCAACAAAGAGGAGTTCTATCCTCACTAATGTGGAGCCTAATCATAGACGAATTTCTATGCAGATTGACTGACCTCGGCATATCCTGTCAAGATTAAGCCGACGACATAGTCATTTTTGCTAGAAACAAGTTTGGAAATATCCTGTGTGATATAGTCCAAAGAGAACTGGAGCACACCAAAAGATGGAGCCGTAAGATGGAACTTAGTATGAACCCCGCGAAAACAACACTAGTAACCGTATCAAGGAAAAGAAAACTCAGAACCGACAAATTAGACTGGATAGATATAGAATGGGAAAAAAGAAATAAAATATTTAGGCCTAACCCTGGACAACAAACTTCTCTGCAACATACATGAGAAGGAAGTAGTAAATATGGCCAGAAAAGCCCCAATGGTAAGCAGAAACATTGCGGGTAAAAGATGGGGATGTAACCCGAACACACTGCGATGGATGTATTGTAATACCAAGCATCACTTACAGGGTTACAGTCTGGAGTAACAAAACTAGTTTAGCCACTATGAGAGCTAATATCTCAAAAGTACAAAGACTATCCTGTGTTTGCATCACTGGTGCAATAATAAGCTGCCCTACAGCCACAATTGAGGTGATCTTAAATCTTACCTCTCTACATTTTTAAATGATATAGAACGTGGCAAAAAGGACACGATATAGAATGATTAGGAACGGAGTAATTCAGACAAAAGTATAATAGCTTCGGGACCGAAGATACTTGGCATATGCTCCAAGATGAAATAAGAAAGAAGTACAGTTTTGAGAAAAAACTTCCGATACCACAGAGCTGGGCTGTAAGAAAGAATGGAGCAAGCGATGCATCGTGCTTGCAACCAAAAGACATGCTATTCAGTGGTATATACATGGTTCCAAAACCATAGAAGGAACTGGAATATGAGTTTATGGCCATAGAACCAGGCATCTTCCAGGCGGAAATTCAAGCCATTGAGAAGTGTATCCAGTTTATCATCGAAAGAAACTATCGTAGACAAGAGATTATCATCATGTCCGATAGCCAAGCAGCCGTTAAAGCGGAACTCTTATGTAATCAGCAAAAAAATGGTCTGGAGACTCCTAGAAAAATTAAATGAGCTAGTCGAGGAAAATACAGTTACTCTCACCTGGGCCTTGGGACATAACGGAGTAAAGGGTAACGAGATTACATATAGTCTCGCAAGGAAAGGGACTCAAATAACCTATGTGGGACCTGAGCGGTTCTACGGTATCAGCAGTAACACAATATTAGGAGGGATTTAAAAAGAATTGGTAATTAAATACGGTCAATTAGAGAAGCACGCGAATAATTAATCTATGATCAATTAGAGACCCCTGCTTGATCATCAATATTATATACTCTAAAGGTGAAAACAGCTCATATTGAATGTTTAGTAGGGTATTTTAACGTGTTTTTTAGTTTTAATAGGGCGTTATTTCATTGAAATGAACAATTACTGATACTTCGTTTAAACTGAATTTCCATTTAAAAAAACTTTGTTTTTGTGTCGAACAGTTTATATTTGGTGTTTCTAATTAGCGCAGTCGGATCGGATCGGCAAATAATTTTCTCAATCAAGTTTCTTGATTTCGAAAGAAAAAACTCTGGATTCTAATTGTTATCTCCTCTCCATTACATGATGAAAGAAAGATGAGATGGCCACCCTCAGACTGATAACTTCCTCATCGAGTCGCGTGAATTACGTGGCCCGGAAAAAAGGATGGTGAGCCCTTAATGGAGCGGTTTTCGCTGGTAATAGCGGCGATTTCTACAACCGTCGATTTAAGGGTGCGATCGGCAGTTAGGAGGGGTGGACAGGGGTTGTAAAGAGTGGTAATTAACGAATCGAGGGTCGAGAGTGTTAAAACGATGAGTACATTAAAATGGAAGGGGACATTTTTTCCCTGTAGCGAAATTAAATGCTAGCATAGATTTTAGGAAATTTTATATATTTTTTAAAACAAATTTTATTACACAGGGTGGACCACCGATAACGCCTTGGTCTAAAGTGGAGTCTAGACTTTTTGATTTATACAGGATTTTGCAGGAAAGTGGTACATATTAAAGTTGGCTTTTTTAAATGGAACACACTATTTTATTTTATATTTAAATTGTCCTTGATTTTACTATAACAATACCAAATAGTATGAGATTTTTCAGGATATTACATACGCTATAATAGTCCTAGAGCCAACGTTCAGATTTGTGACTTTTTTTCTTATGGCTAAATGTATGATTAAATTGTGCTATGATTCGTGTCCAAGGAATTCACGAAAGCGCGACGTTCAGACTGGGGGCGCTTAGGTAGCTATAGGCATTACAAGTGGTACGTGACTCTCAGAAAATTTACTTATTTTCTTAACAATTTTGTTATGATCATTTTACGATAAGTACCCACCTATATGCATTATTAAACTATTTACCAATTTTGGCAGGCCATTTTCTCTCTTCAACATTTTAAAGTATTGCGTGAGAAGGCATGCGCGTGACTTATTTTCTTATTGCTGGTTTTTGGTTTATTTTCAAGTTTTTATGTTTTCACAAAATTAACTTCCTCCACCATTTTCACTGGGCCATTTTTTCTCTCCAAAATTTTTAATTAATTAATACTTTTCTTTAAGAAGCATACCCTATATTAAAAGTTAATAATTTTTGAAGATTTTTAAATTTAAAGTTTGTATTTTGTTGTAGCGAACTCCGTTATTCACATGAATTATTTTTTTACTGTTAATTTTTGCAATACAGTTTAAAACTATAGCGTTTATAAAAAGAGAATGAAAAGACCTTGTAAATGAGGTATCACACGCCCTTGATTCCAGATTAAAAATTGCAGAATCTAAAATTGAGATAATGAAATTGTTCCATCACGACAACGAAACAAATTTCTTATGCTGATTGATTATGTTTAAAGTACGTATTTATTAACATTTATTAAAATTATTTTTCAAATGATTTGTCATAGTTTACAATACGTAACAGTTTTATTCCGCTAAAAGGCGCTAAAATCAAAAGTAACGCATTTAATAGTTATTTTTTGAATTATCCATAAAATTATCTTTTTAATGATATGTCACACTGGCCACTTTCTATATTTAAATTGGATTAGTTAGAGTAACGGATGGGAAGGGAATGACGGATGGGAAGGGAATGACGGATGGGAAGGGAATGACGTATGACAGTCGAGATTATTGTAGAAAAATTAACGGATTCATGCGTTTGTCTGAATGTTAAAGCAGTTCCTGATAATGTCTCTGATTCATTTTCTTCTGGCCACCTTGTACAAAAATATAGGATTGGCATTTAATATAAAAGTTAAGACGCATTTCGAGAAGTAATTTTCTTAACTAATTTCTTTTATAGGAAACTATCATATACATATTAGGATTTAAGGTAAATTAAATTTAATTTAAATCCAAAATAATTGTATAAAACATTAATAAAATTCCTGCAATACAAAAAAATAAATGTATACTACTAACTTTCCAAGTATGATAACAGAATCCACTTCATGTTTACCAGTTATAACCTGGTCGCCATCAGTTAAAAGAATATTACTCTCGAATTCTTCAGTATCTATATTATTAATACGGAAAATATTTGTATCGCCGGTTATTTCCAAATCACCATTGAAGCTTTTCCATCCAGTGATTACTTGAGTATGTTTAGCACCTGAAACAACCTAAAAAAAATCAATTATTTTAGGGTAGCTGAAATTATTTTTTAACTATCTACATGTCCATTCAAAATGTTGCACTGTATGTATAGTTACCCAAGTATCTGTATCTACTCCATTAATCATATCTGTTTTGATGTCTTCAATTCCCAGATGCTCCAAAAATGTTATTGGGATATTCACATTTTCATCTGTTAACTTTACTCCATGTTCCACCACTCGAGATACTGATTGCAACTCATCTTTCTTAATCGCGATGTTAGCTGGTTTCTCTATCTTCTTCGTATTTGTGTCTATCGATTCTGTGGCACCGTTTACAGATTTAACATCCTTGGAGTTGATTTCTACCACTTTGGTGACCTCATTGATATTACGCGAATCATCAGTGGTGATATCTACGGATTTTACAAAATCTTCAACCAAAACATTACCGCCTATTACTACATCATGGTCTATGGTCAAATCTGATTCGATTTTCTTCAGAGGATTGATATTTTCGAAAGCTTTGCCCTTGAGCTTTCCTCTTACGCTAATAGGATTTAACAGTTCTAAATTTTTCAATGTTTTCAAGCCGGTGACATGTTGCTGAAATGTATGATTTTTGAGCAGAAGGTCTAGGTTACCGTCACTGGTCACAGAGATGCTATCCAAGTGATTTAGAACCGTTAAGTTGACGATGTTGGGGGGCGTTGCGAATAATAATGATTTCGGTATAACGTAGTCACCGGTGTTGATGAGGATTAGTTCTTCTGGAATTTTTACACCTACAAAGTAATCAAAGATAGCCAATAAGAAAACAGACATTTAAGATATGTTAATGCACTTAAATTTAAAAAAAAAAAAACAACTAACTACAAAATTTTAAAATAATAAATCAAATCGGACAGCGGACGGCTAGAGCAAAGCTAACTGGAATCCAGCGGTGCGTGCATCTGCGACAATGTCATTCACACCAATGAGAGACCATGTTGGATATAAACCCTCTCCAGAATTTGCTGGAAGAGAAGGTCAGGTTGGTCTCCTACAGATTCCTGACGGTGGGTGGTCAATTTAGGAAAGAACTGTGATGGGACAAAACGAGGCAGAAGTGTAAGCCTAGTAACCACCATATTGTCAACATGTTTTAATACTCACTAATTCCAGACAGAGAAGTATGGAAAGAAAAAACATCTCCCAGGCGGACAATATACAAACAGTTCCAAAACTAAAATAGAAGTAGGAGGGGGAGTTTTCAGCTAGAAGTCAAGAGTTGACATATCAATAAATCTAAAGTACTATTTTCCAAGTAGAAATTAACGTTATAAAATTGGGAGCGAGAGTTGATTAATTTTCTTCCCCACTAAGACTATAAAAATCTTTTTAAATAGAGAGGCAGCCTTCAAATTCCTGGGCTCCAACCAAGTTGACTTGAAGCTAGTTTGGAATGTGTAAACATCCTTAAGGGCCGTAAGCCACTTTGCATTAGAATTTCTTTTGTACTTCCTATTATAAACCCTAAAATTCTTAAAGATTTTTGGACAATATTTTCTATAAAAATGAAAAAATTTTTTTCCGAATCAAAGGCACTTTCAATATCTTTGATACTAGAAACGTTTCTAATTATAATTTTGAATTGAGCAACTTCAATGGATATGGACGTCAGTCGATAAAAAGTTATTATTTTCTTACATTTAATAATATTTCAAACTAGACAGTTTCTCTTACAATATTTATAAGAGGAACCTACGTCCTCCTGCAACATATCACACTCTCTTCTACCTTCAATAGTTTTATAAAGTTTTAAATCGCATATAACAGACATTGGTAATTTCTAATGAATGTCGTGTTATGTCATGTGTAAATAAGCTAAAAAGTAGATGTGACCCTTGAGGTACTCCTGAGGTTATTGATATAAAATGTTAATTTTTATCCTTGAACGTTCCACCTTTAATAATTTTACAGGGTAAATCGTAGAATGGTTTTCTTCTTGACACCGTACACAAAAGCATTTAATATAAAATGTCTTTAACAACTTCCAATGTGATTTAATTTAACTTATGTTAGGCAAGTTTTTACTTAAATTATTTGAATAATTTGTCAGTCCAGGAGAAACATTATAAAATTTCATATAAGAATCATTAAATTCTCCAATTTTTGAATTTAACTTCGACTTAACAAACGCTGCTTATCTTTATTCAGGCAAATTTATACTAAATACTAATACGTCGCGTAGAACTGTCAGTCATGAAATTCATAACTATCTACGTTGCGGGCGTGGTATTCAAAGCCATTGGCCAGTAGCTATTACATAACGAACATTCTGTCTCTAGAGTTAAAATAAAATAGGGGAATGTGTTTTATACAGGGACAGGTTATATAGAGGGACTATCAGTTTTTCTCCGCTACTGTACCGCTTAAAAATCTTAGCAACTGATATCGTGGAATACTCCCCCACCGCTAGACATGCACATTTTTCAACTGTTCGCTTCTTACCGCTCAGTCGCATTTTATTCGTGCCATTTTGGTTTTGTTTGTGTAACATTTTTAAGTAACGCTGGATTTGAAACAAAAAAATAGTATTTAAGCTGTGCAAATTGTAAGTAACTATTGGATAGTATATCTGTAACATGTAGAGGGTAGGTTACCCCAACGGTACTGAGGTCTATCTTATATCGGCCGGCGTTAGCCGATACTCGCCAAACACAAATCTTCTAATAAATGAGAGCGCCGGGAAATGATAGAGGATATGCTCTATGGTTTCATCTTCTTGTTCGCACCCTCTCAGAGTGCGGATTCTGACAGCCCCATGATATGGAGATGCTTTCGTACTTGGCAATAACCAGTTAGAATGCCTGTGACTAGGCGTAGATTCTGTCTAGTCATAGTCAAGTATTTGTTTGCTGCAGTGTTGTCAAAATAAGAGCTCCCTGGCAACTCTGCAGTTTCTTGTTTTATCCCATCTTTCCTTGAATTTCACAAGGGAATATTCTTTGATTAGGTCTGTCACTATCGATTTTGACGGGCCAATAGAATGGACCAGGTCCAAAACGTATTTGGTTGGCTGCTTTCTTTTACGCTAGTGAATCAGCAAGACGGTTAGATTTCGATGTGGCGTGACCTTTGATCCATCTTAAGGTGACCACATTGTTGCTGGATACTTCGGCTAAAGCTTCATGACACTCTGGTACTAACCCTGAGTAAATTTGTGGTCTGTTCAGGGTGAGTAGTACTTGTCTGCTATCTGTATAGATGAGCATGTTCCTTCCAGTGATATCGTTTCTGGTTATTTCTTTTGCTGCTATGAACATCCCCGTTAGCTCTGTTTAAACTACACTGGCACTATAGCTCACAGCCCATTTTATGTTTAGGTTTAAAATTCTGGAGTATATTCCACACCCTGAGCCTTGTTTTGTTTTAGAACCGCCGGTGCAGATATGAATCGTTCCTGCCACTTCCGGCTCTTCTATTTGTTTAATTATAACTTATATGGTTTATGGAAGATATATCTCGGTGAAATGCAGTCCATGTTCGCTTGAAGCAGTGGGAGCGTATCGAACGCCTCCTGCCAAAAGCGACGTCTTGCCTCACCAGATCCTACATCCTATTCCAACCGTACGGTGGCGTGTCATTGTCGTCAGAGCAACCTTATTGATGTAAATATCAAGGGGAGTGAGACTAAGAATGACTTCCATAGCCCTGGTCGGTGTTATTTTCATGGCTCCTGTTATGTTAAGATACGCTGTTCTTTGAATTTGTTCTAGTTTACGGATAGCTGTTAATTTTTGGGTTTTCGGTACTCAGACAACTGCACCGTATGTTATCATATGTCTTATGATAGCCGTCTAAGTCCATGCGACGACTCTGGGGGCGAAACCCCAGGTGCGCCCCATGGTTCGGTGGCATTGCTCATATACAATGTATGCTCTTTTAACTCTGTTTTCTAAATTCGAGTTCCATGTTAACTTGCTGTCAAATGTGAGACCTAGGTGTGAGTCCTCTGTTGCAAAGTTTAGTTTTGTGTTTAGGAGTTCTGGAGGTTTTAACTCCATTTTCATCATTTTTCTTGTGAAAAGGACCATTTCTGTCTTCTTAGGATTGATAGACAGTGAATGGTTCTTGCACCACTGTTCGATAATATTTCACAGAGTATGTTTTCAAAATTCTTTGTTTGCAGAATGACCAGTTCATCTGCATATGCTATTGTGTAGTGACTGTCATTATTGAGGTGGCTGATGAGGGTGTCGAGGACCATATTCCACAGTATAGGTGATAGTACCCCCCCCCCCCCCTGTGGATATCCCCTAGCAACCAAACCTCTTATATTCACATCTTCTACACTTATGTTTACTTCCCGCTTTGAGAAAATGTTATGTATCCACCCGCTAATAATTTGTGGAACATTCCTGTTGGTTAGTGAGTGTATTATCTTTGGGAAGGTAGTTTTATCAAATGCACCTTCTATGTCTATGAAAACACCCAAGGCGGACTCTTTATTGTCCAGGGATCTTTATATCCGGTTAGCAACTAGATGAAGGGCTGAATCAGTAGATCTGCCTGGGGTGTATCCATGTTGGTTTGGGTGTGCAAATTGTAATTAACTGTTGGATGGTATGGTTAAAAGGTAAATAGATTTATCAATATTATTTAGAATAATGTAGCAAATAGTTGGTTATAACCTAAAATGCGTACAGTGTTGTATAGTGGGATATTGTATATAGCTACGTCCCACTACGCAACAGTCTATTTATTTTCCACGTACATAAATAGAATTAGCAAATCGGCTTTACACAGATTTGTTAAGAAAGATTAATATACCGAAGAGGATCTTAGACAAAAATTTGCTTTTATTCATTTTTCCCCGAAAAGGGAGAAGCACATTCAAATGGTTGGATAATTGAAACAAACTTTTTAGAATTCCTCAAGCATTTTACCGCTACAGTACGTTGTAATCAAGATAAAATTTTGATGATTTAGATTACCATGAAAGCCACACTGATGTGAAAGTGTAGAGTGCTATGGACGATTGGATGTTAAACCATCCCGGCGGGCGGATATAGTGGGAAAATATTTTCCAAGTGCCTTTACACCAAGCAATATAACAAAAGGATTCGAATGTACAGGAATATTCTCTCTAAACTCAGAATTATTTAAGTAATCTCATTTTCTTTATTTATGCACATGTAAGAGATCGTGAACATCCTAACGAATCACATGACGAGAATCAGTCTGAAACAGGTGGTTTGTCAGGGACTTTAGAAAATACCATCGAGATATAATAAAGTAGTAAACATTATTTTATGACATGACAGATGGTCGCACTTCAAGTAACGGAAAAGTAAAGTAAAATAAATTTATATTTAAAAACTGACGGAATAAAAATTATTTCATTTAAATGATGCTATTTAAAAACGTGGCATTTATTCCCACCAAAACTGACTAGCTCCACTACCTCGAGTTTGACATTGACGGAAAAGTGTAATGCAAAGGTACAAACACTTAAGCATCGTCATAGCATCTCCTCTTTATTCGATTTCAATGGACAATACCCAACCAGTAGACATTACTTAACCAGGTTGCTCTAGAATTATAACAAATCAGGAGATGCAGAGGCCACAGAAAAATGATTCAGTGACTTCTCAACTAACCTAAAAAAGGGATACCGTGATTACAGAATCTATAAGGCCTCATTTAAAAGCTACTACTAGAAAAAATATTTTGAAAAGGAAAAAGGTTGTGTGTACGATATTAGAGTCAACAGTAATTCTAGAAAAGAAGCGACTTAAGGAAGAAAAACGAATGAAAGAGGTAAAAATTTACATAAAGCTGCAAAAGTGAAGAATCTATTCGCAGATTCCAGTGACACCTATGTATCAATGGAAAAACTATGCGATGACAAATCTGAAATTTCAGATGAATTCCCTGAAAGTACATATACTGAAATAAAGGAAAAAGATTTTGTTCTTGTCAATTATCCTTTGAAAACAAGAATTAAATATTTTGTTGGGCAAGTAGAGAAAATGGAAACCAGGCTATTGAATATAATGCTAATTTTTTGAAAAGAACCAGTAATGAAAAATGTGTTTCCGGAAAAAAAAGGCGAACATTTAATTCAAGAAAAAAACATCATCACTAAACTTTCTAAGCACTAAAAGAGTTTCGAAGCAGTGCCATTTCAATTTTGACTTTTCGCCTTACAAAATAGAGTAGGTACCTAAATTTGTAAACGTGTATTTACCTAAAATAAAACCTTTATACATACGTAATTATATTTTATTATTCTGTTGTATAAAATGACTTGCGTTTTGTAATCGCCATAATCATATTTTAAAACTTTTTAATTTATTTTAAGAAAGGCTTTTACGTTTACAATGCACTGCAATAATAAAAACAAAGAAAATATGTGAGACTAATTTTTAATAGTCAATTAAAAAATATTGTCCCTGCATACAACACCTTCCCCTACGTGTAAAATACATAAAAGGCAAGTGTTTTAGAATTTTCTTTCAATCTCAAGAGCGAGAATGTTTTCTTTCTGTTATTATAAGTGCTTCGCATGAACTTCATTCAGTGGTCGTGGAGAAAAATATTTCTACTGGCAGTTGAAAAACTTATCAACTTAAATACATATGTGTCGTATTTTTGCTACCTCATATTTTTTCGTTCTAGGGGAACTGCACATCCTTTAACTATGATATTTATGGATTTTTCTGGAAATTTTTGACAAATATTTCTTTACATCTGCGTCTAGCTACAGGAAAACCGTTTTGAGATGGAAATAATCAAAGTTAAACTATCCGAACTAACGCTAGACTTTTAGGGAAAAAAAGGAATGTACAGCGTAAAATCGACCCCGGGTGCTCTATCTTGGCTCTTTAAAAGAATATTTTAAACTTTTAGCAGTTATTTTCCTCTTTACCTTTGATCTGCACTCGTAGTATACAAGAAACGGTAAAAGAGAGAAGCGAAAAAAAAAATAAAAAAAAAACGGGAAACCCTTACCTGACAGCCGATCAGTATCCAGAAGTTCCGATTCCACCCTATCGAAGTAATACGTCTCGGCCGTAATATCCTGTTTTCCGGATTTTCTCAAAGCGTATTTTTCTAAAGTCGGCACATTGATGTCATTTAGGAAACCTCCTACTATCAAATTTTTCGTCTTCAATGTCTTGACGTTTCGCACTTTTTCTTTTCCGGTATTCTTCGGGCCGCTGCCGGTCGCTGAAACGTACATTTATTGCTTAATCTACTGGTTTTTATTTGGCTTTCTCATCCCTCTTTCGAAAAATGCTAGATATTATTCAGATTTATTATTTATATTCATGAAATCCACACAGCATTTTCCAGCCAAGGGTAGTTGGTAGATATTTTAGGATATCTACAGGGCGCTCTATCATGAGTTTCAGTTAAACATTTCTCAGAAAATACATTACAAGAAACACATCGCACACTTAATAATAAAGTGGCATAACTCAAATTTGCATGTTAAAACTTTTAATCGTAAAACGGTTCAAAATTTTGCCCTCCATATGTAGCACTTTTTAAATGACAGTGTTACTCCATCGCATTACGTCTTAGATTTAGAGTAGCACTGTCATTTAAAAAGCTCCACATATGGAGAGCGCCATTTTGTGCCATCTTATGACTTATAATTAAACGTTTAAATATGCAAATTTTGAGTTATGCCACTTTATTACTGAGTGTGCGAATGTACAGGGTTATTCATTATAAATTACTCACCCCTTAGCATCGTTATTATTGCCTATAGAAAAAAAAGTTTTAAATAAAACGTCAAATATGCAATAATTTAATGGTCAACGCTATAGTATATGGAAGTTTGGTGTTGAATCTATTGTATTGGGATTAAAAGTTTTAAGCGTTGTCAAAAACGAAGTGCCAGATGTTCCCGATGAAAACTGGTGTAATCGCAACTTAGCTGCAAAAAGTATGATCTTCATATGCCGAAGTTATTACTGCACTAGAGACACTAGGTGAAGATAATCTGAACCTTGCATTTGTTAAAACACGTTTATTGGATCAAGAAGTTAAATTAAAGACCAAACAACAACTAAACTTAAAATTTTACATTTTGAAAAAATACTCCAAGCACATCAGATATAAATATTAAGAAGAATAAAAGTACAATAACTTTAAACCGAATTTCAATCTAAAGCGTAAAAGATTAATGATGTCGCCGCATAAGTGTTCAAACACAAGTTGTGAATACTGTGGAAGAAAAAATCATCCTAAGAAGAATAATTGTTATTACTAGAAACAAATGATGAAAACTCAAAATGACCGATTCATAACCTTCAAACCACGAGAGACAATCAAGACAGTTTTGAAGGCAAGCAACAACCCAGAAGCCAACAACATCAATTTAAAACATTAAAAAATAGAAAACAACATGGTACGGTAAAGACCTTACCTTAGGTATTTGTTGTCCTTCTAGGTGAAGTGGCCTGCCCAAAGAAGTAGAGTAGAGAGGGTAGAATGATAAGGTACTGTATGCGCATCCATGATGAGTGTAGAAATTATGCATGATTCAATCTTCCACTCCTACCCACGTAAATGACAAGGAGAGGTTGCCCTAAAATACTCGTACAGTAAACAAATTCCAGGCTTGGTTTTGTTTAGCTATTACGTTCATGTTTAGCTTTGTTTTTTGTTTGTGTTGTGGCTGTTGTAAGCTTCTTTGCTGTCGGTTTTTTTATTGGCTTGTTTATATTTGTGATATTTTGTGATTTGATTTAGTATTAAATTATACCTGATAATTATTTTCTCATGCATTATTTTATAATTGTTATACATGTTTTTAAACCGTCTTTGAATCTTGTTTACAAACTGTGCAAAACGAAATTGTACATAGCATCTATACTTTTTCATTGCCATTCTACCCCTCTCCACTTCATTGGGCCTGCCTAAACTTCTCGCCGCAGGCTTCCATAAATTAAAAAATACACACCTTTCTTCCAATGATGGTTTTTATTAATATTACGTGACTCACATTACACTTAAAACTTTTTACATTGATGTTACTTAAAGTAACGTTAAACTTTTTATGTTATTTTTTTTTAACAAAGGACTGAGAGGCAGTGACGAGGCTTTGTTAAATGCTTATATCATTGCTTTCCTTTTTCGTTTGCTCTTTGCTGATATTGAATGTTATTGGCTCTGTGTTAACTGTTATTTTCGCCGGTAGAGGGCGTCTGATCGTTGACCAAAGTATAGAGATGAGATTTAATTTTTATTGTTAAAGATGGGTGTCCTTGAATGTGTATTTTATGATTCTATTGGACGTGTGTAATGAATTTTATATAAATGATTGATGATGATTTAATTATTTAAATTTTTACGTGAGTTTGCGTAAGTGTTTGAATGTAATTCTATTTTTTTATGTGTGAATAAAGGTTTATTATTATTACAAACTATATATTTATAAAAACATTAATATAGTTTAAAAAAACTAAAAAACACGCTTTTATAATACATCGAACTAAAAAGTGAAAAATAAATATAGTTTAAAAAACACGCTTTTAGAGCATATCAAACTAAAAAGTTAAAAATAATTCTTAAAATAAGCTTAAAACAATAATAAATGGAAAATACTAGTATTATTGTGGAAAAAGCGTGGGGCGCTTTGTCCATATTTCTCGTACATCGAGCGCCCGACGCTTTTTTCACAATAATACTAGTATTTTCCATTTATTATTGTTTTAAGCTTATTTTAAAAATTATTTTTAACTTTTTAGTTTGACATGCTCTAAAAGCGTGTTTTTTAAACTATATTTATTTTTCACTTTTTAGTTCGATGTATTATAAAAGCGTGTTTTTTAGTTTTTTTAAACTATATTTATTTTTTACTTTTTAGTTCGATTAATTATTAAAAAAAAAAATTGCTGAAAAAAAATTTTTTTTTCAGCCGTGGGGATTAGAACCCACGATCAGTGAGTCTGGCAATCGAAAACCCGCGCGTTAGACCGCTCGGCCACAAACGAACTTGACTTAGTGGGATATACTGACAGTAATAAGCCACTTGAGTCCAAAGGAGAGTTACAAACATACATACAGATGAAGCTAATATAAGCGTGTTAAAAATAACAGAAAAATAAAATGTTCAAATATTACTTCTAACTTTGACCGTAATTCGCTCGCTCACAAAATCGTGGTAACCTAAATTTTGCAAACGCTCTCGTACGGCAGCCAGATATTTTTTTGTTGGACATTTTGCGACCTTTCCAACTGTATTTAGTTGGACTTCAAAAGCGACGAGTGTATAAAAACCACTTCGATATAATTTTTACCCCTAACGTAAAGGATAATGGTCGGCCGCCAGGTATAGAAAATTAAATTAAGCCATACTAGTGATTGGCCCAACATTTTGCAATGGGCTCCAATACTAGACACCCTTGTGACATCGTGTAGAAGGACGATAATCTATATGATCTTACCAGAACAAATTTCTAAGATCTCTAATTTATTCACCAGTGTTAAGTTTTCGAATACGGTATGCCGTAAACGTAAAAATTAAAGAAAGCTAAGTGAGGATAATCGGTTGAGATTCGAAAAACTGAAACGCAAATTTGGAAATAAGAAAATGAAAAATGGATTTTTAATTTTTTATTGTTTTAATGGATTATTCACACACCTAACAAACAGTTAATAATATATAAACTTCAGTTCTGCCATAGTTCCCATAATTTTACTTTATTATAAAGAGTATAACTAATTTTTTACTCCCTTTTCCACAAAAAAAAAATTCTCGCACTCTGTTCACCAAAAAAAAACACCCTTTTTAAATTAGAAGATTCAAAAAAAATAAGCTTATATGACAAATATCGGATGCATTCAAGGTAACACGACACATGCTTAGATACACGGTACAGGAACGCCATCTGGTGTTTATTAAAATAATATCTCTATTACTCAAATCGGGCCGTCAAAATTTTTATTGCAAAATAGTTTATGAAAAAGTTTAATAAAAACTACAAAAAAAAAAACTAATTTAGAAAGTAAAATTAAATCGTCTTTAACTTCGCCAAAAGTAAAAAAAGGCTACAGAAATCGATTTACTGAATTTATTTCCAGAAAAATCAAGAAAATTAGAGAAAGTAGAAGTAGAAGAATATAACATATTAAATACAAATGTTGGACAATATGGGGGCTTTTTAGTCAATTTCAAGGCCTAAAATTAATGTGCCTTAAAATACTTATAAATATCCTAACCATTACTGTAAAAATTAATGTACTTAGTAAATATATTTATTTCGAGTAGGTACTCAAATTTTACCTTCGAGTATTTACAAAATTACTGCAGCTTGCGGCTGCGTTATTTCATATAATAATGCCAAAATTTACTTTAGAATATAGTTTATTTACTGTTAGTAGACGCCATTTCTTTAGAATCGATAGCTGCAGGGTCGGTTATCAAAGAATGAAAACCAGAGTGCAGCTGCCGGCTGCCGGACCATTACAAAACGTTCAAACATTTTTCCTTTTTGGATAATATAAGAGTATGAATTTTCTGAGGCAAAGTTAATTTAAATTTTTAACATTGATTTTACAGTGCCGGCATATTTAAAAAGCATAACTTTACTTAGGCAACACTTTACTTTGCGTACACAAACGTTGCAAATTTTAAAAGAGCTTGGCATGCCATGAAATGTCAAATCGTTTACACCTAATAATACTAAAGCAGAAGCAAAGCGGGTGGCATTCAATTTGTTGACGGGAAGATCAATAAAACTTTATGTAGCTGTTTATGAATCATTTTTGCAGTGAAGAACTGCAAAAAAATACAGATTCTTTCTCCGAATCAGTGCTGTTTACGGAATTAGCAAAAAAATAATGATATGAATACCATTCCAAGTATAGCATTACACAACTATATAAACCCAAATATCCCAATAAATATCAATAATATAAATAAATATCAATAAATATCAATAAATATCAATAAATATCAATAAATATCAATAAATATCAATAAATATCAATAAATATCAATAAATATCAATAAATATCAATAAATATCAATAAATATCAATAAATATCAATAAATATCAATAAATATCAATAAATATCAATAAATATCAATAAATATCAATAAATATCAATAAATATCAATAAATATCAATAAATATCAATAAATAAAACTATTTATATTTAGTTTAAGTAGGTATATTTAGTAATTAGTTCATTTATTATAATTAGTAGGAATT